TTACACTTACTCAGTGCATCAAAACTAAACCCAGAATTTCATTTGCACTTATTACAATTTTCTAATGTAGATGCTCTCACTATGCCTATTTTTCAGTGGGGTAAGAACAGTACTAAGGTTAGGTGACTACTAAGTAACTATGAAAACAAACGCACAAGTTGGTCTCCGATCTAATGCACTTTCCACTCTGTTGCACAGTGTTTGTGAAGTAAAAGTGAGGCCTTGGACAAGGTTAAAATTTGCATTGAAGGATTGGGTGGGGCAAAGGAAAAAGTAAACGAATGAAACATGATGTAAATTTCAATATTAGTTGTAAGAAATGCTCATTAAATTTCAATTAGATAATGAAATCAAGTCAAGACATTTTGTTTAGATTTGGCCAGAAATTAAGAATCATTATAAATTGATTGTAGTCACAGGGTGAAATTTTTATTAGTGGAAATTTGTCAATTAATTGTGTTAATGGAAGAAAAATTTATGTTCTTATATGTCAGAAGAAAAACAGAAATTAGCAGTGTTCTATTCTCTGTGTTCGTTCAAACAACTGACCTTCAAGTGGACATTGTATATTATGCTGTGTTGGGAGATTGTACTATGAGGATGAAAAAGAAATAATTCCTAATATCAGATCTCACAGTCTGATGTTAAAGCAAACTGCTGGAAAATAAGAGTCATAGACCAATTCCAAGTGATGGACTGCAGTATGGAGACCTTTCGGGAAAAACAACAAACATGTGCCAATGTCAGTGCTTCTCTCTAGGCTGAGAATGTTCAGAAGACTTGTGTAATGTGGATGTGTATTTAGGTATGCTAAAAATAATGGAGAGGCAAAGATCCACAGTAACGTGGTTGAGTCCAAGAGGCAAGAGATAGAAAAGTAGGGTATAGATTTCGACAGGAAACCAGGGAACTTTCTGAAGGAATCTGGGTCCCTCTGGTTCACTGTGAACCAAAGTATAATTGAAAATTTAGTTGTACAATTTACTAATTGAGAATGTCCCATAAATAATGTATAATATGTCTTGTTGGGCATAAATTAAGTTCCCATAAGGATGACCACTTTCCTCTTTGTACTAGACCTTTCAAACTTTTTTCCTGTTATAGGTTAATCTTTATTCAGCTGAGGAAAATTAAACCATCAGAATGCTGATAGTGGAGCAAAGCCAGAGAACAGGAGCAAAGCACGTAAAATCTAAATGCTGAAAATATGTTCAATGATGTATTTTTACATAGACAACACGACAGTTATTTGAAAAATATTCACTTAGCAAAAATATCTTTATTATTGTGTACAGATTTAGAGAATATAATTGAATTTCAGAAAGAGTACAAAGAAACACTGGAAAGTTATCCCTAGAAAAGACAATAGGGGTGGGTGAGTCTTGGTAGCACAAGGAGTAGAAAGTGGGTGGTAATGGCAGCCTGCAGGGAGAGTTTGGCATTGGGCACTGAGGCTGTTTCTGCTGCAACCGTTCTCTGTTCAACTACTTGCCAAACAACTTCAGCATCATTAGTCAGACAAACATTTGATGTGACTGTGTCTTTTCTTACACCTTATAAACTGAATAAAGAAAACTATTTTCTCCATATTCACAACATAATTTAGCATTTAAAAGAGTACAGAAGAATTACATTGGCCTAGAAGGGTAGGCAGTTTGTAAAGCAAGACTTAGTTTTAAAAGTGAAGTCTATTTCAATGAATTGGAGCAAAGTTGTATAATTTCAAGAACAAATACTCTTTGGGAGTATTGCTATAATCTAAAGGAGTTTAAGGAGAAATGTATTTCTAACTGTTGGATTTAAAATATTATTATAGTACTTAGGCACCTAAAACTATCTTTAGTGAATTGGAAGTGTTTAGACTAAAGTAAAAGTCTATGTGATGAAGATTCTCTTTGTATTTTTTGAAATTCTCAGTTGACAACTGGCCTTACCCCTCACCCCAGCATCTTTAACTCTTTGTGATCCAGCAGCTGCAACAGCAGTGCAGATGTATTAACATCCTGGAAACTTCAAGTCCGCTATTATGTCATGTTGGTGATGTTCACGAGTGACTTCAGGAAGTATTGCACATCTCAGCAATGCACAGAGCCTCCCTCACCACATGCTTTTTTTTCATATAGGTGAATAGTGGAAGCTCTGATCACATTGCTTTCTCTCTTCTTTTGGGGTAGAACTAAGATTATCATGGAGTTATTCTCGCTTGCAATAACACAGAACATCAGCGATGCATTTTGCCACCGAATACAACATACCCATGTTGTCTGCCTTCCAGGAGGATTTTGACTGATGAATACAGTGCTGTCTCTCACTTAATTTTCAAGACTTACTTTATAACTGCTGATAATAGATATTTATAGCTTCATAATTTTAAGTGTATGTTTCATGTTAATCTTATAAATATTACTTGAAATACTTATAAAATTAATGCTATATTTACCTTTATATCTGGGTGCCCACACCTGGGTTTCCATGTATGGTGTATGTAGGTGTATGAATTTTGCTCTGTTCCAATTAAACAACTCTGACACTGATCAAAGGACTTAAGATACTATTTTACCCAGTTGTGAACTTAACTCTCAAAGAGGAGGACCATTTCTACAAAGAAACTCCACTTTTATACAACTGTCTTGATATACTTTAGTATAAGATTCGTGGAAGGACAGACTGAATCCGAGCCTGCCAAGCAAGCTCTAGCTACATTGTCATTTCTATGACAACAGTGGAAGGGAAGGCAAGAGTGAAGACTCCCCCAGCTGGTGAACAACGAAAACACACATTTTCCTGTTTCTGACCAGCTTCTCTCTTGATTCTGTGTGTTAGCCCTAAGAGTCTCATAGTTCTATTTATTGTTTTTCAATAATCAAGATATGTCTCAGTTTTTGAAATTTGTAAAAAGGTGGGCATGACTTTGGGACCCCAGTGTGTCTTTGTTTTCCGCCTTCTTCTTTAGTTCTATTAATATCTTAAAATAGGTGGCCATACTTTCCTTGTCTCACTCAGATATTATTTTTCATTGAACAATTGCAAGTTTTAAGTATTAATTCATTTCTATTTTCTTACTATAAAGAGTTAAAAATCTCTCAAAAATATATACTTATTTGGAATTTCAAAAATATCAGTATATATCATTGGCCTAAATACCGATTTGAAATTTATGCCTAATTTTCACTTTTAAAGAAAAACAATTTTTTGAAATCCTATATAGCTATAAAACATAGATACATATAACATCATAATTTTGTCTTAAGTTAATTTTTGCCGTGTTAATTTTCAACTATGACTTGTAATACTTAGAAAAATCAGTGCTTCACTTACCTTTTTTTATCTGTTCTGAACACAAACACATTTGTACTTATGAATATAGATATATCCATGCATAGACTGTTGAAAAAACAGGTAGTTTTAGAAATAGTGATTAATCGAGTTCATGAACGATTATAATAAAACACATTTCACATTCTTGGCAAGAGGTATATTACAAACTAGCAAACTTTATGGAAGAAATTATGTAAATATACCTCAGAATTATAGAGAATCCTGCTAGTGGCAACATTTCAGCCAATGTACAAAATATTAATTAGTTCTTTGCTAATTTGGTACAATGTGTTTTGATAAAATTCATATCCCTTCATCTCCTTTCAGATACACTCCTCTTCCCTACTTACCCAATATTGCATCCGTTTTTCTTCAGGTCCAATGTATCTTGGCCCTATGTCTGAGGGCATGTGGTCTTCCACTGGAAAACAGTCAAATTCTCAGTATATCACCTAAATAAAACTGATTCTGATTCTCCTAGTAGTCATCAACTCCTGGTAGTTTCCATGGCTAGGTGTGGAACTTCATTCCCAACAGTGTTCCCCACGCTGGGATTAGCTCTAGTTGGCGTGTGGACAGTTCTTGTGCATGCAGTCACAAAACTCTGAGTTCACATGTGCAGCTGCCCTGTTCTGTCTGGCAGACTGTTTTCCTGTAGTCACGCCCCATCTTTGTATTTTACACTCTTCCTGGTTCCTCTTTAACAATGACAACTAAGCCTTGGGAAAAAGGAATGTGATAGGGATGCCCCACTTAAGACAGAGAATTCCGTGGTCTTTTTCTCTTTGCACCTTGCCAAGTGTGAGTTCCCGTGTTAATAATCACTTGCTGGAAAAAGAAGTATCTCTTATGAGTATTGAGAGACATATTAATCTGTGGGTATAGTGGTAAGTCATTAGGAATCATTTTTATATATGCTAAAATGCAAAAGTTTGGAAGTAAACAGTTTTTGTGAAAGAAATGAATCATGTAAACCTATAATTTATATTTGATAGGAATTTAAAAGTACATTAAACTGTTATCAGTATTAGTTTCTCTTTCTTTATGTAATGTATTTTTCTGTTTGCTTTCTTATTCATTATAAGCACCCTCTTCTGCACTTTTCATAATTTCACATGACCCTGGTTATTTCTTCATTATTACTTTGTCTCATCTAAGTAGTGAGAGTGAAATACGAGCAGGTCAGTTCTCCTCCTTTAGGAGTTTACAGCAGAAAGAAAGGTATTTGTAAAGGACAACTCTCAGTGCTAGAACATTCTTTATTTAGAGCTATGATAATAGCCCTCATTTGGTACTCAAATTAAATCTAAAATAATGTATTGAGAAAAAATTGTCATTAACCAACTTGCACAATTAAGACTGAAGAAGTTTGAAATCCTTATCAAATTTATCTGGGAATAAGAAACAGAGAATATGAATCCTTGGGCTTGTAAACCATGCTGTTTTAATGGTTGAGAAGAGTATTTATGTTTTATGGAATTGTCTTAAAAATATATGAAATTTCATACGCTTGATATCTTTTCAAATGAGTTTCTGTTCACATAGGCAATCTGGAAGTTTTTGAAGTCAGAGCTGGGCTCTCATAGACTTGTCTGCAGCTTGGTTTCCTAATTCAAACTATTCATTTCTGCACTCAAAAAAATAAACCTAACACACAGACTTTTCTTTCCTCTCACCTATAGGTCCCAAGGAGGTGGAGATCAAGTGCCCCTTGAATCACGTTGCTTGTCCTGGAGCTGGTGCGTGTGTCCATTTGTCTCAGCTGTGCAATGGGATGGTTGACTGCCCGAATGGCTCTGACGAAGGAGTGCATTGTCAGGGTGAGTCTGCTGGAAACAATGCAGCTGAGACCTTGTGTAGTCATAAAAATTCAAAGAGAAGTCCAACCCTCCTTTTCTTTCATCTGTAGGTGGGGATGGGGTGGGGGAGAAGAGAAAGAGAGAGGAGAGAGAGAGAGAGAGGAAGAGAGAGAGAGAGAAAGAGAGAGAGAGAGAGAGAATAGGTTTTATTGTCAGTCTCTCAGTATAAAGTTCAAAGGTATAATTATCACAGTTTCTTGAAAAACATGTTAGCAAACACACACCCAGACTTTGAAGCTGGGATTTAGAAAAAAAAAAAAAAAACAAAACTATTTCGCATAAAATTGCTGTATTCAGTATAGGAGAACGAGGAGTCATTATCATAGTAGACTTACACCCCACAAGCCTGTTTATTCAATCTTTGTCTTCAACAAAATAACAGGAATGCTCCTACAATTTTGTATTCAAATCCATGTATTCACGGGAAATATTTTCGTTAATACCAGTTCTGCCCTACTATGCTATTAACTTCATTGCAATTTTAATGTGTTTTTAAATATCAGCCTGTAATTTCTACATAGATATGAGAGAAAAATCAAAATAAAGAGACATTAAAATATAAGTGGATTTGGAGCATTCTAAAACCTAGGAGGAGATTATAGGGGCTGAAACAGGAGATTAGGAAATAAAAGAGCCTGTGGAGTTACAGGGCACGAGGCCAGCCCTGGATAAAAGAAGAAACCTCCCACATCTATCCCTCTTCTTAACTGACCTCACCATAGCTGATAGAGCACAGGTCAGGGCAAGGGCAGACTGGATGCCTACACCTATGGCGACTTGTTCTAAACATATTACTTTATGTACATGTGTTTTAGAACCAGTCCCCTTGTCCCCCAGTTTTTGCCACACTGTTACCCACCATCTGGTAGGAAGGCACACACTAAGGTTGACAACATCTGTGAGCAGTCAACATTTCTTCTCTTTCTCTATGTCCACTCCTTCAGGACCAGATGAAGGGAAGTACTGGAACCCCTTGGTAGGGGTAGAAAGGAAAGAGACATGCATGAACAGGAACTTGAGCAAAGCTTTGTAAACAGATTACATTGATTACATTGTGACAAAGTCTGGTTTCTCAAGAGGGGCCCTGGAAAGGAAGGACAGGATCAAACATCTCCACAATAGGTCACTGAAGTAGGATGTAAACAAGAATATGTTCCTCATCTTAGGGTTAGTGAGATACATGGGCTAGAGGAGGTTTTAGAACGCTGGGGAGACATGGTTGAATAAATGATCGAGTGATGAAGAGTGCTTGTTACTCTTGAAGAGGAGAGTTTGGGTTTCCGGCACACATAGGGAGCTCATAGTTGCCTGTAACTCCAACTCCAGGCAATTGGATGATATACATATGGATCCAAACATGTGTACATGTAAACTCACACACGAAGAGAAATGTCAAAATATTGGAGAGACAGTGATATAGGAGAAGGCACCAGACAGTAAATTTCTGATTTTTCTCAGAGGAACTTAGCCCTCTACATCTACAACTATCTATAGAATGTTCACACTTAGGGACTGCCTAAGTGGATTTAGATGGGTGGATTTAAATACAAGCAACACAGGCAAATTTGCATTTGCGTTTATGTCAGAAAAAGGTCCTCCCAATTGCTTCTCTGTAATGTATTATATAGAATAGTAGGATCAAGGCTAAAAGATATGCCATTCTAGACTAAGTGATCAAAACATTTTTCATTGAGAGGAAAAATTCAGAACTGTGTGTAACTGTTTATACACCAAGACATGGACAGAACATATCAGAGAACATTAGATTTGTGCCATGTATGTGGTGTGCCTTAAAGAGACCACATGGAAATTTTGTCAGCACAATGACTCTGTATAAATCAGGTCTCTCTGTCTACATTCAGAGTGCTTCCTGCTTTCTCGTTATCAATGAAAAACATGGTTCTGAATTATTTTTAAGCGCCATCCCTATCCAGTATCTAGGGAACTTTCTGATATAATCACAAAGTAAGAAAAGAAGTAGGTAAGTACACTCTGCATTGCTGTGTTAAGCCATTCTTTCTGAATTATGTCTCCTAACATTGCTGTTTTTTTTTAAATGCCTGTTGCATTCAGAGCATGTACTCTAATTTAAATAATTACACACAAAGCCTCAGCCATGACTCAGAAATGAATTTGGCTCTTTCTTCTAATAAATGATTCAAAGTACATTTGGTGGGGTATTTGTAGTCTTTATGAAAATTAATAATAAGTAAAGCTTAAAGATTTGAACATTATGTTCTGGTCTTTGGAATGCTTTTGTGTTTAGTGAATTGTTTTCTGAATGTTTCCTGGCGAAATCAATTCCTTTCTAGTCAAAATAATGAAAAAATATCTATTATTAATGATTTTCTGTAACACAGATATTTTAATCTCCATAATTTTGTTCCAATTGATGGAAAAATGGATTTTTATAAGGGCATAGTTATATACAGGAATTTGCTTGTAAGATATTTAACAATAAGCACTGGTAAAATAACCACATTATATTTTCAAAATTGCATCTCTTCCTACACAGTATTTCAAAGTAGTAGCAATATTCTCTATCTAAAACGTAGGAGCAATAAAAGAAATGTACTAAAGTTTGAGATCTGCTTTCGAACATAGAAAGCGCTAGAAGGAACTGACTGAGATCAGACCACAGCATATATAAAATCACAATATTGAATTTGACCTTCCTAGGATAATTGATTATGTCCACATTTTGTTTGAGCATTTGAAAGCACAAGGAAGTAAAGAATGTGGATGCAAGTGGGGATGGCATTCCCCAGGCACGATCTGCTCCTAGTCTGTTAAAACAGTATCAACACTCTGTAAATCACTGAAGACAATTCTACCAAACTCCATGTCCCCAAGAAAGCATAACTATGCGATCCATACAGATTAATTTTATCAAATAGTTAGGGTCCTTTGAAACCTAAGGAGAATGACATCAGAGATGTTATAATCGTTAAGAAATGAAACCTTCTGACAAGAAATAATTACCTCCCCAGCTGAGTGTATGCACAGAAATGCCACACAAGTCATTTGCAAGTTTTACTTTTATTTTTCTGATCCTGTCTCTAGGTAGCTTTGGGCCCACTATATACATAATTGGTGTGTTTATCCAAAACATATAAAAATATTCTCTTAGATGTACATTTATTTCTTTGAAATAATAGTATTAATTTTTAATTGTACCCAGTACGTAGGAAAACTGGAATTCATCCTTAGTAATGCATGCTCCTTCATCTACAGGCTTTTGTCAAGAATTCCCATGCATTGACTACAGAGACTAAACTGAACATTTAAAATGGATAGCTGTCTTTATCTTTTGTTTTGTGATCCACAGAACTTAAGTCTTGTAATAAGGAGTTTTTTTAAAGCCTTCTGGAGAGATTTAAGCAAGAAATTCTTTCAGAATGAGCCAAGGCAAACGGTGGCTTTTATTTTCCGCAATGATTAACCATGGGAAGTTTAGTAATCTTTTATCCTCCTTGTTTTGGTGTTATACGTATTTCAATTTTCCTCAGACAGAATTCATCTGAAAATACGAACTTGGAGCCCAAATATTGCCACCCCATATTTCAAGATGGAAAAGTTTTATCTTGATTTATTGTTTCATCAGCCATTCTTTTTTGTTTTCAATATGCTTAGTTTTAGGATAAATATTATATATAGGTCAGGCCAGTTTAGAGCTACAGTTAGGCTTAATGATGGGGCTGGGCTTGGGGTAAGGGCTGAGGTTGTGGTTAGGATACATGCTAGGATTAGAGATAGGGCGAAGAGTAGGTTTAAAATAAGGGGTATGGTTACTGTAAGGCTGGGACTGGGGCTAAATTAGCACTCCTAGTAATTCTAACATTATCTTCAGAATGTAATGATGTATTTCAAACCTTCTAGAAAAGATGGGAGGGAAGGTACTAAGGAAGGAGATATGAGAGAGGAGAGGAAGAAACTAATGATCTGGTGAAAACATTTGAGGTGGTTTTATGTCTACACTTCTGCCAATCCAAGTTCTTCAACTACCAGTTTACCTATCCAAAACAAAAAAATATAGAACATAATACATGTGGAAATATTAGAGAAGACCAATTTCATAGCCACTGTGGCTTCCCCTGTGGGAAATGGAGGTGGAAAATCACTATTGTCTGCTCATGTGACATGAATCATTCAAAACCTTGTAGATGGCAGTCACAATAGCATAGACATATAATCACAGAACAGGAGAGGTGGAACTGCTGATGTATTTTGGGCCCAGGCTGGTCTGCAGAGGAGATACTGTTTCCAAAAGCCTCAAATTAATCCATCAACAAAGCAATCAAACCCAGAGACACAAACAAATAAAGAAAAAGCCTATTGTGAAGAAAGAAACACAGTCAGAGTTTGTGAGGTCAGACGACTTGTGTTTCAGAAAGGTTTTCTGTAGTTTGTGCTCAGTTGTGGGAAAGTGATAAGACTGCCTAAACCCTGTCTCAGGTTTAAGAATTTTTTTTTCTTAGAGATTAATTTTAAGAATTGAATTAAAAAAAATACTCTAGCATTTGATCCTAGTTGATTTCCAGAACAACTTTTGTCCCAGAAACAAAACAATAATCCTCCTAAAGGGCTTGGAAAATGGCTCAGCAAACAATGAAGGTCCTTGCCACACAAGTCCCAACACCCAGTAAAATCTCAGGGTACAGTGATGTATAGCAGTAGTCTCAGCACTGGGGAGAAAGAAACTGCAGGCTTCATAGGGCTCCCTGGAGAAGCAGTTTAACTTAATGAATGATATTGAAATTCAATAAAAGAGCCCAAAACAAAACCACAAAGCAGAGAATGATTGAAGAAGGCATTCAATATACTCGTCCATGCACAGGCATGTTTATGCACATACAAATAAATGTACACAATCCCTAGAAAGAATATTTCTTCTTTCAATAAATTATCTTTTTTATAAACGTCAGTTGTTCCATAAGATTTGCATATTAATGAAGTTTTGT